CCTTTGCAGTCTTCTCGAGCTTCTTCCCAGGTGTTCCATCGAGAAGGAGGAGCGTCATTATACGCATAGCAGCTGGGCTCAGTGAGTAACCAGCCGTCCTGACAAGCTTGACAGTTGGTCTCTGAAACAACAGAGTCCAAACAATAATCAACATCACTGCATTGTGATATTAATGTTATTATTATTATTATTATTATTACTGTACCTTATTAATGGGTTCAGAACTTACTGTCTTTGTGTTTGCAGTCGGCATTGATGCTTTTCAGCTTTTTGACTTCTGCAGACAGGTTTTTTACGTTGCTCTTTGAGACAGTATAGTCTTTTTTCAGGTTGCCCAACTGGTCCGTCAGATTCTTGTTGTCCCTCTTCATGTTTGCATTTTCTAAGCTGAGTTTTGTAACTGCAAAATGAAAATTAGCTTCTTTTATAATCAAGGTTATAATGCAATTTGTTTTTTTGTCAATTTGCCTCTTTTGGAAGCTTTTTCCTGTCAGTCTCACGTTAAGTTTTCCGGTCTTTAGACTCAAACTAAAAATGTCTCAGTTTGTCTCAAAGTGTTCTGACTTCTCCAATTCTCATTTATATTTCACATTGCCTGAAACTGCTTGTCACTGTGGTTTAAGGTCAACATTACTAAGAAAGGAGTGAAATGGGAAAGTCTTCAAGCCACACATTTTGTGAAATAGCAAGCGCTGGTGTGTGGGATAAACTCAGAACTTCACAGAGACTTAGTAACATGAAAGACACATGACATTTGTTATTGACATTAGATAGACTTTCATTGTCGTTTGGGTCTGATCATGTGATTTGTTAAGAATAAGGGAAATGTAGAATATGACTTGAATTATTTGTATGCATACGTCTGTATTTCCCTCTAATGATGGATGCAGGTACGTACAGTATCCAACAATACTGTGGCATGTACATGACTGATATCAAATGGTATAAACAGATAAAACGGCTGCTAATATTCTTTATGGTTTGTCTTATGTCTAAGTGTGAGATAATGCACTTCCTGTTTTGTGTACTTACCGTAGACACAGACTCCGATGATGCCACCCAGCAGAATGACACAAAGAATCCCCAAACAACAAGCCAAGTGCTGAAACCGCCGATGTCCTGCTGAGTCTAAACAACACAAATTAATCACATTAACTGTCCAAATGAAGATTGGTACCTTTCAAAGTCACAGTCTCCTTAGTACAGATACTGTGTCACTTTTCAACTAGGACAGTATACAGTATGGTAAATGCAGATGGATCTTTTTTAAAGTAAAAGGTAAAAGACAGGAAAGGATAGCAAGTTGATTTGACTAACTCAGATGCTTGAACCTTATGTTAGTCAGTCAAACTTTGGAATACAGTTCAGAACAAAGGAGTACATTTGGTCCCCTATCACTTACATTGTATGAGAAATGGCCTAAATAAACAAAAGGAGTGATATGGACAGCGAAAGATTGTTCAAATATTTAAACAGGCACCTGACTTTTGTTAAAGGGCCGACTTAAAGAGTTGTGAACCCATTGTGTTTTGAGAAACTGCTTTATGTACTTTGCTAAAAGTGTTCCAGTGAGAGTTACGGTAGGTCTTGAGTATTAGTCACTGTAACATTATTGGAGTACAACACAAAAGTTCAATCTCTAAATAACCGTTCGGAAGAGATTTCCTAAAAATGAACCTCATATTTAGTCTGACTCATTCACAGTTTTTAACACAGTTTTTAACACAGTTTTTAACACAGTTTTTAACAACGTTGCAGATAAACCCCCCAAAAAGCAACAAAACCACTTGATAAAGTTTAGTAAAAGGCAGTGGTAGAATGTTACTGAATACATTTAATCATACTGTACTTAAGTGCAAATTTGAGGTACTCAACTACAATTCAAAGGTATCATATATCTCACTCCACTACATTCATAGTTATTTAATAATCGAGACGTATTATTCTTTTTAGAATATGTTTTGTTATAAATATGAACAGATGGACGATCTGAAAAACTAGATAATAAAGAAACTTAATTGGAATCTGCACACATTTACGTTTATTTGATCTAATTAGGACAGTTTTTTGGGTGTTTTTTATTTGATTTCAAACTTGTCTGTGTCGAGTATAAGTAGAGTTTGCTTATTATAATTGCTTACTTTTACTCAAGTAATATTTTCAATGCTGTACTTCTACTTTTAATAGATAAGTTTACCACATGGTATAAGTACTTTTACAAAAGGACCAGAATAAACTGGTAAAAGGTCATGGTTTGGTTTAAAATAAGTACATTTTTGTAACTTAAAACAAGTCAACAATTATTTGACATTATAGACTTCTGCATACTTTGATTAGAAACTTATTTTTTGACATGTCAAAAACAAACGGGGGATGAGACAGCTTTAGTAGTGGTAGCACTCCCAGTTGCAGTAACACCTGAATGCTTTTTTTAACACAACTTACCCTCGTTCTTTGTTTCATTCTGCACCTTCACGTTATCGTACACAGTTTCCTCCCCTCTCTTTGCTGGAAGGTCAAAGGAAATGCTCAGGGTTTTTTAGTGAATAAATGACAAGGACTTTTAAAGGCTGTTTTCATTGTTTGATATAGCAGAAAAATTGCCTTTTGCCGATGATTGATTTATTGCAAAAATGCAGTTTTTTCCTCAAAGTGCATTAAAATGGGCAGCTTCAAAATGAGGAGATTGTGTTTCAGGTATTGTATCATGCCGTTTAAAAATGGAAACGACATGATACGGGAAACTCTCAACAGATAATTATCTCACTTCGCAATTTCCTCACTGGTTTTAAATAGATGTGTTCGTGATGATATATCTCCCCACAACACACTCTCACTCCCTAAGCGTCCAGGAGCGACGCTTGGTCAGGGTCCCGTGGCATCCAGTTGTGACGCTCCGAGGCTCCTTCAGCTTCATAAACGGACGCAAAGAGCTTTCAACTGATTGCAATGTATTTCCCATCGGCGGCGGTATTTGACACTTAGGGAAGCACGGCATTCGTTTGTGTCGGAGGCTGTTAAAGGAATGTGAGCGTCCATTCCCATTGGATAACGGAGAATTGTACACCCGGAAGTAAGTATTCCCCTTACTGTCGATTGATTTGACAGTGATATCTCCACTACTCATCAACTCAAAAACACCAGATTATCCTTGTTAATTAAACGACATTGATAGGTTTTAGTGTGCAATGCTTTTGTCACGTTTTCCCCTTCAATTCTGAGAAACAAGTCGTTTTCTATGAGTTTTGGATGGCCGATTACCCACAATCCTCTGTAGCAAACATAGACTGTATAAACAAATTAAATAATACATTATTCCGAGTGTGCTTGCTTTTCTCTTTGAAAGTCATCACATAAAGGCATTGTAATACACGTTTCGGCTGCATTAAATATGACATATCTGCCGTAGTTAACTCTATTTATAGAGCCCTGATGACAAGACTTCTAGACAAACAGGAACTGCCGCCAAAACTGAAAACTTGACGTGGATCTTAAATATATAAGCAATTAAACAACATCTTACATTTCTTTCCACACAATACGTCTCCTTGCAGTATCAACACTAATTCGGCTGACTTTTATATTTGATCCAATTGGTAGATAGGCTGTATTTACGCCATAACGGTGCACAGCTGATAGAAAGGGACACCTACTGGTTAAAGCACGTTATTGCATTTTATAATGTTATTATTAGATATTAATAGGAGGATGTGCAAAACAGACAAATTAATAAGGCTTTATTTAAACATTAAAGAATACTTTAGGTTAAGGTCTCATTTTGAATGATACAAATAAGAAAATTCAATAACGTGCTTTAACCAGTAGATGTGCCTTTCTATCAGCTGTGCACCGTTATGGCGTAAATACAGCCTATCTACCAATTGGATCAAATATAAAAGTCAGCCGAATTAGTGTTGATACTGCAAGGAGACGTATTGTGTGAAAAGAAATGTAAGATGTTGTTTAATTGCTTATATATTTAAGATCCACGTCAAGTTTTCAGTTTTGGCGGCAGTTCTTCCTGTTTGTCCATAAGTCTTGTCATCAGGGCTCTATAAATTTAACTAGATAACTATAGAGTTAACTACGGCAGATATGTCATATTTAATGCAGCCGAAACGTGTATTACAATGCCTTTATGTGATGACTTTCAAAGACAAAAGCAAGCACACTCGGAATAAAGTATTATTTCATTTTTAAAAAATGTTTTCGGATTTCACATCGCATAAACACCAAATCCCAGGGTGCATTGCGGCTAAACCATCCAATCATCGAGCTGAGGATCTTGCCTACGTCTGTTTCCGGTTTCGTTTATGAAGGATGTATTTTGTTATACACACATTCCTTCACATTTAAATTTTTATTTACATTAAAGTATTTCGTGAGGCCTTCTAACATGTTTTTAAATATAACTACGGTTGTAGTTGAAGAGTTTGTAAATTAACATGAACCGAAGCTGTTGCCTGTTGCAATATACAGTCTATGGTTGCTACAGAGGATTGTGGGTAATGTAATGTCTTCGGTCATCCAAAACTCATAGAAAACGACTTGTTTCTCAGAATTGAAGGGGAAAACGTGACAAAAGCATTGTACACACACTAAAACCTATCAATGTCGTTTAATTAACAAGGATAATCTGGTGTTTTTGAGTTGATGAGTAGTGGAGATATCACTGTCAAATCAATCGACAGTAAGGGGAATACTTACTTCCGGGTGTAAAATCCTCCGTTATCCAATGGGAATGGACGCTCACATTGCCTTTAACAGCCGCCGACATACACAGATGCCGTGCTTCCATGAGCATCAAATCCCGCCGCAGATGGGAATACATTGCAATCAGTTGAAAGCTATTTGCGTCCGTTTATGAAGCTGAAGGAGCCTAGGAGCGTCACAACTGCACGCCACGGGACCCTGACCAAGCGTCGCTCCTGGACGTTTATGGAGTGAGAATGTGTTGCCAGTTGCAGTAACACCTGAATGCTTTTTTTAATACAACTTACCCTCGTTCTTTGTTTCGTTCTGCACCTTCACCTCATCGTACACAGTTTCCTCCCCTCTTTTTGCTGAAAGGACAAAGGAAATGCTCAGGGTTTTTTTGGGAATAAATTAAAAGGAATTTAAAAGGCTGCTTTAATTGTTTGATATAGCATAAAACATTTCTTACGATGATTGATTTATAGCAAGAATTCACAGTTTTTTCCTCAAAGTGCATTAAAATGGGCAGCTTCAAAATGATGAGATTGTGTTTCAGGTATTGTATCATGCCGTTTAAAAATGGAAACGACATGATACGGGAAACTCTCAACACATAACCAGCTCACTTCGCAATTTCCTCACTGGTTTTTTCTTTAGTACAGATATTGTGTCACTTTTCAACAAGGACAGTATACAATATGGTAAATGTTCCAGTGAGAGTTACGGTAGGTCTTGAGTATTAGTCACTGTAACATTATTGCAGTACAACACAAAAGTTCAATCTCAAAATAACCGTTCGCAAGAGATTTCCAAAAAACGAACCTCATAATTAGTCTGAATCATTCACAGTTTTTAACACGTTAATAACGTTGCAGATAAAACCCCCGTAAAAAGCAACAATAAGTAAGTAAGCTTAAAATAAGTACTTTTTTGTAACTTAAAACAAGTCAGCAATGATTTGAAGAAGAAGAAGATATACTTTTCTAAATCCCTCACAGGGACATTTCTTTCTTTATGACATTATAGACTTGTGCATACTTTGATTAGAAACTTATTTTTTGATATGTCAAAAATAAACGGGGGATAAGACGGTGCAGCTTCGTACGTGGGACCATCATTTTTTTATTAGACCAGAATGCCCCGTCTGCAAAACGTTGACATTTGTCACACTGCACACTCCCAACTTTGTACAGCTTTGTTAGAGTGGTAGTAGTGGTAGTGGTAGTCAAAGTCAAAGTCAAAGTCAAAGTCAGCTTTATTGTCAATAATTCTACATGTTGTACATCCAGAAAACTCGAAATACCGTTTCCCCCAGTTCTACAGTGTGACATGTATACATAAAACAAAAAACAAAAAGAGTCTAGATAAGCGTGGCATACATTAAACAAAATAAAGGGCCTAGATAACCGGGGTATACAGTTTAAAATGTTATTAATATATTTAAGTGTTCAAAGTACAGTTTCAGTGCAGTAGCAGCGGAGACGGGCAGAAAAGTGACTGGTGCTGGATGAGGGAGGTTGGTTGTGTGTGTGTGTGTGTATGTGTGTGTGTGTGTGTGGGGGGGGGGGGTTAGAGTCCAGGACCATTTGGGGCAGGGGAGAAAGGTGGGAGGCAGGGTGGAGAGTTCAGGGGAGAGATGTCTGAGAGGGGGAGAGGGGGAGAGAGGGAGGGAGGGAGGGGAGAGAGTTCAGCATCTTGACCGCCTGGTGGAGGAAGCTGTTGCCCAGCCTGGAGGTGCCCGAGCTGAGGCTGAGGAACCTTCTTCCTGAAGGCAGGAGGCTGAAGAGGCTGTTGGAGGGGTGGGTGGAGTCACCCGCAATGCTGAGTGCTTTGCGGGTGAGGCGGGTGTTGTATATGTCCTGTAGTGAGGGGAGTGAGGCACCGATGATCCTCTGGGCAGAGTTCACTATGCGCTGCAGGCTCTTGCGGTCGGCGGCGGTGCAGCTTCCGAACCACAGCGTGATACAGCTGCTGAGGATGCTCTCGGTAGCGCCTCTGTAAAAGGACAGCATGATGGGGGGTGATGCTTCGGCTCGCTTGAGCTTCCGGATGAAGTACAGGCGCTGCTGGGCTTTCCTCGCTAGTGCGGTGGTGTTGTTTTTCCAGGTGAGCTCATCAGTGATGGTCACCCCAAGGAATTTGGTGCTGGTCACCTGCTTCACAGCAGCGCCGTTGATGGTCAGGGGGAGAGGGGGTCGACGGTGGGTTCTCCTGAAGTCAACAACTATCTCCTTTGTTTTCTCCAGGTTGAGGAAGAGGTTGTTGTTTTGGCACCACAGGGCCAGCTGGTTCACTTCCTTCCTGTAGTTAGTCTCATCGTTGTTGCTGATGAGACCCACCACAGTAGTGTCGTCTGCAAACTTCACGATGTGGTTGGTGCTGAAGATGGGTTTGCAGTCGTGGGTCAGCAGAGTGAAGAGAAGGGGGCTGAGCACACATCCTTGGGGGGCCCCCGTACTCAGTATGAGGGTGTTTGAGGTGTTATTGTTGACCCGTACAGCTTGTGGTCTCTCTGTGAGGGAGTCCAGCAACCAGTTACAGAGAGAGGGGCTGAGGCCCAGGTCTGTAAGTTTTTGTACAAGCTGCTGGGGGATGATGGTGTTGAATGCTGAGCTGAAGTCTATAAATAGCATTCTGACATATGGGTCCTTAGTCTTAGTCTAATGGCGCATTTCCACTACACGGCCTCGCTCGGCCCCGCTCGGCCTCCTTTGGCCGCGCCCGGCCTCGTTAGGACCAGCTCACTTTGTGGCGCGTTTCCATTACAGTTTAGGAACCGGGTCAGTATCTATAGTAACGCAGTGTAGGCGGAGCGACGCTGCTTAAAACTGCCGTGACGTCATCTTCAATGCGACAAAGCGACACAACACACAACAATGGAGGATGTTGAAAAGATCGTTTGCTTGTTGCTTGCTGTGTGGTTCTTTATCACAAGAAATAGGCAAGAGATGATTCGAAAGAGGCGACTTGTAGCAAGACGAGGTATAGAGGCAGCTGACGCGAGAGTTCTGGCAGCCCGCAGAGACTACTGGAGGACTCTAACTACTACTACTAGTGCTACTAATACTTCTTCGAGACTACAATGCTACTTGGTAAGCTAACGTTCGCTAACTAGCAATGTGTTTAGGCTCACGCTCCCCATACGACCAAATAATTTCAAGTATTTAATTAATTGTAGCTACCACTTTTACGTATTAAAATATGTATGCTTTTGTTTGTGTATTTCAGAAGTTACTTCGCCGCCCTAGACCATGTGTTTGGATGCTCGACCGAGCTACCGAGTGGTGGAATGTGATTGTTCCATCTTTCACACACACTCAGTGGGTGGAGAACTTCAGGATGTCTGAAGAAACCTACGTCTACCTGTGCAACAAACTGCGGCCAGCGATGGAGAAACAGGACACACCATTCTGCGTGTGTATACCTTTTAAGAAGAGAGTGGCCATCGCACTGTGGAAGCTTGCTACCGGCTGTGAGTACAGAAGCATAGGACATATTTTCGGAGTGAGCAAGACAACTGTGTGCCGGTGTGTGCAAGACTTCTGTGCTGCTGCAGAGACGTTGTTAGTACCGGAACTAATTCGTTCACCAGACCGGGAGAAATTTGCAGAAATGGCTGCCTACACTGAGCAGAGGTGGGGGCTCCCTCAGTGTGTAGGTGCTATTGATGGGTCACACATACCCATCTTGGCACCACAGGAATACCACTGTGACTATTTCAACCGTAAAGGCTGGCACTCCATCATCCTTCAAGGAGTTGTTGATGGTAAGGGACATTTCTGGAATGTGTTTGCAGGAATGCCTGGGAGCTTGCATGACGCTCGGGTTTTGAGACTGTCCACATTGTGGGAGTTGGCCAGTCGTGGCAACTACTTTCCAGCTTGCACCAGGAACATTGGTGGGGTGAATGCTGGCTATTACATCCTGGGAGACAATGCCTATCCCTTGCAAAACTGGCTCATAAAACCCTTCGCTGACACTGGACGGCTAACAGAAGAACATGTGACATACAACAAGAAGATTTGCAGAGTACGGGTAGTGGTTGAAAACGCTTTTGGTAGACTGAAGGGAAGGTGGCGTTGCCTCATGAAAAGAAATGACTGTGATGTGAAACTTGTTAAATCAATGGTGCTGACATGCTGTGCTCTGCATAACCTCTGCGAGAGTCATGGAGAGACCTATGATGATGGGTGGGATGCACCAGCAGCAGCAGAGCCAGGGGTAGCAGTGGCACAAGGTGCAGAGGAGGAGGGCAGGGACATACGAGAGGGTCTGATGCGCTACCTGAATCCATAAATAGTCATTGTATGGTATTCAACATAAATAAAAAAAGAATGTTTCACATACATGTGTTTGTCAAATTATTTAAACCCAAGAAATGTTATCATAATTGACTATTTAGTAAATATTTGAATTTCAAGCACCAGTATTTACTGCCCCATAAAAATAATAATATAAGCAAATATCAAAGCAAACTATAAACATAAATACAACAGTGTAAAACACAGCAGAACTATATTCAGCTTCAAGGTTTTGTATTTTGTCATACGAACATAGCTACAGTGTAGTTATAGTTTATTTTGTTCTCTTCTCTTTTAAATATATAAGCAATGTGTTTGAGTCTAGCACAACGAGGGTATTACAATTGAGTAATTTTTACTACATGTATTAATCATGTATTCTTAATACCATTACAAAATATGTAATGTTATGTTTTAGAGGACCTCAAGCGAGCAAACTCAATTCCAAACAGTATGCAGAGTTGTCCTGCTAAAGACTTAAAATGTTTTATTTAACCAAGTATTTATTCTCTTATTTGCTTTAATTGCAACAGATGATAAAGGTTTCACTGTGCAGTGCTTTGTGGGCGATGATGGTGTTTATGATATTTCTGACTGAAGAGGGACGCCTAGATGATGCCATCTTTCTGTGTAATCGCTGTTGGGTGCAATTATTTATCAACAAGCAATAAGATAAGTCAAAGAAGTACTTTATTGAACACAAAGTGTTTTCTTGCAGCAGCATAAAAAAGGCATGGCATTATACAATACAAAAAAAATAACAATGATTGTATTGTATTGAAGATAAAAAATATACAAGAAAGTACAGCCAGAGGTTATTGGTTCACAGAGGCGGAGGAGACGGGGCACGTTGGCTGCCCGTTCCCACTAGCACCTGGCAAATAGTGCGCATGAAGGATGCATTAAAGCTCTCTGCGTGAGCCATCTCCTCCCTTCTCAAGGTGGCTTCCAACACCCTCGCCTCCCTCGCCTCCACCATGGTCTGGTTCATGTACTGAGCCTGCAGGGCCCGGTCTTCCCTCTGCTCGGCATGGATCTTCTCCTGCTGGGCCAGGTTCTGCTCCTGG